CTCCCTCGACGTAGAATTGCCACAAACCTTCAATTTGTGTGAAAAAGCAGCACAATTCAGCGAAACGCAATAAAGCAAGGGATGCCTGTGTAATGAGGAAGCAAATGGAACTTTCACACCTTGCTGGTGGGAGCTGAATGGGTAGGTCATGTTGTAAAACTGCATGACACCATTCACTAACGTCAAGCATGCGTATACTTAGGGCCCATGAGTTTCTCCCCTAGATGTATACCCAACTGAAACATATACCTGTTGTCTATAAAACAGGTTCCAGAAGGTTCGCAGGAGCCTAACTCAGACAAAAGCTAGAAACAACCCAAATGTTCATTAACACTAGAATGAATCGACTATGGCATATTCGTATAATGGAGTATTACACAGCAGGGAGGATAAATGAACTACCGCTGCCCACAGCAACATAGGTAAGACTCGTATCGAGGTGAAGGAGCCATAAGCAAGAGCATATATAGTACTTACAAGAAATTCAAAGGCAGGCAAGATCATCCATGGTGTCAGGACCGCAGGTACCTTTGCCGCAGCGTGGGGAGTAACTGGAGAGGGATACAGGAGCACTCTGGATTGCTGACGACGTTCCATTTGCCGACCCGGGTTCTAGTTACGCAGGTGTGTTCATTTTGTAAAAATTATTGAGCTTTAGATTTGGGATTTTTGTACTTTCCTGTATGTGTATTACACCTCAGATAAAATGTTAATGAAAGCAGAGAAAGACACTCCACAAACTGACACTACCACATGGACCCATCTATGGGCATCTGAGCCCATCCTCCCTGCCTTCACTCCTGTTACTGGGGCGAACTGTTGTTCATGCTTCCGTCAAAGACAGGCCTTTCCTCCTGTGCCCCCACAGAATTACCCCCTCTCTTCACAAGGATGCCACTCTGGTCTCCCGTCTCGTTCCTACACCTTTTCTCTCGACGAGATCTTTCCCATCAACCTCCAAACACACGCTCACTTTTCTAATTTTTAAGACCACCTTCTCATCCCTCAGTTACTGTAGTTTTTCCCCTTCTCTTAGGCTAAAGCAAAACTCAAAACAATTGTCTATACTTGCTGATTCCAAATTTGTTCTAATACTCTTCTTGGAACCACTCCAATCATGTTCTCCCCTCCATGCTCCACAAAGGTTGATCTTCTCATCCGTTGTTAAGTCCAACGGTCACTTCTTCATCCTCATCTTCCATGATTTTCAGCCACTTGAGGCATAACCATCAACTCCCTCTTTCTCAAATCACTTTCTCCTCTAGGCTTCCAGAACACTGCATACCCAATATGCCTTCTACCACACTAGCTGCTTCGTTCCAACTCTCTTTTATGGGTTCCACCTTATCTCCCTGACCTCTCATTTTGGAGAGCCTCAGAACTCATCTAGGGGCTTCTCCTCTGTTTTCTTATCCAGTGTCATATACACACTGTGTAAGTGGAGGAATGCCAACAAAGTGTCTCCAGTCTGGATCTTTCTCCCACTCAGGTTCCTCACACATTCGTCTCCTCAGCATCTCTACCCAGATGTCTAACAGGCATCTCCAATTTTGTATGTGCAACATCAAACTCCTGTCTTCCCCTAAGAACCCACTGACTGACTTCCCATCTTGGTTAACGGAAACTCTATCCTTCCAACTGATCATCAGGACAAAACCCTTGGAGACATTCTTAACTTTGCCATCTCTCTCATAAACAAACAACCTTCAGAGCATTTCCAGAATCTGACCACTCTCACCATTTCCACTTCTGTAACCCTGGTCTAAGCCAGTATCGCTAGGTGCCAGGATTATTGCCATAACCTCCTAGCTGGCCTCCCTGCTCCCCCCCACACACACAACCAAACCCCCCACCAGTCTGTTCTCGGTGCAGCATTAAAATGTTAACCAGATCAGGTCAGTCCTCTGCTCAAAACCTTCGGGTGGCCTGTTTTGCTCAAAGACAAATTCCATGTAATAGGTTACAAGGGCCTTCACGGTAGACCCTTCTCCCTGTACTGTTACCTCTACTCCATGGCCTCCTTGCCATTCCTCAAACGAGGCAGACCAGCTCCTACTTCAGGGCCTTGCAAGTCTCCTCTTGGCCTAGAAGGCTCTTCCCCCATTTATCCTCATGGATCGTACCTTCATCCTTTTCAGATCTTGACTCAAATGCCGCTTTTTCATCGAGGGCCTCCCCGCCCACAGCATTTACAATGTTAAGCACTCTCCCTTTTCACCCTGCTCTCCTAAGGTCTCTATCACTTCCTTCAATTTCTCTCTAGCACTGCCTCCTTCTAATGTAAGTATGTATTACTTATCTGTTTACAGGCAGTTTCCTGACAATATGTGAACAACAGGAGCTTGAGGATTTCTGTTTTGTTGACTGCTCTATCCCCCAGTGTCATGAACAATGCCCAGTAAATAGTAAGAGCTTAGTTACTATTTGTGGAATGAACACAGGAGTTATGTCAATCTTTGTCATATACTCAGGCTTCATAGAGATGGGAACTATAGCTTAAGCATCTTTGTAATAAATGACTGACTGAATGGAAGAAAGAAGAACAGGCCTTCAGTCCAACTAAGGTAGGCAGTGTATTTAATTGTTCTTTCCATTTTTATTTTTAAATTTTCTTTAAAGATTTATTTATTTAAGAGAGAGAGAGAGAGAGCACAAGCAGGGGGAGTGGCAGGCAGAGGGAGAGGGAGAAGCAGACTCCCCGCTGAACAGGGAGCCCGATGTAGGGCTCAATCCCAGGACCCTGAGATCATGACCTGAGTCAAAGGCAGACGCTTAATCAACTGAGCCTACCTTTTCTTCCTTCCTTAAATTTTCACTCAATCAAGAGCAAAGATTACAATAGGCAGAGTGTGCAACAAAAATATAGTTATTAAAGCAATGCTTACCAAAATCAAAGAGAGGAAATATTCAAACTCTGAGAGGTAATACAAACATTGCTCAACTCACTTATGATTTTTCTTGATCAAAGGTTAAAGAAACAGATATGACTCAGGAAGGAAAAATCAATAGATATGATGATTTAATCGTTATGATTTCTAAAATACACTAAACAAATTATGGGGAAATTTGACCTTTCTGATATGAAGACCTCACGTCATTAAATAAAGAGCACCTCCTATTCACCCGAATATATTTCTAGAGAAAATTTCAGTGCTTGGAAAATTCCAACAACTTATTCCCCCCAAAATGACAAGTTCACATTTTTATCTTTTTAATTTATATTTCAAAATTACAATTTATTTCACACTAAAACTTATAGAGGAAATTGACCATGAGACCAAAGACCCGAGTTCTTTTCTCAGAACACATGCACTCAGGGAAACATGTGCCCACTTCCCACAGCAGCAGGGCACTGTCTTCCAACCTCGCCCCCCGCCCCCAGGAGGAACAAGGACAGTCACAAAGGCTAGTAGGTGGAGAGGCCCATGATCCCCACAGCTGGGGACGGACCTCACAGGGCTCATCTGCTGAGCACGTGACCATTCATTGGTCATCTCTGGCGGGGCTGGGAGCAAGGGGAAGAGGACGAATACTGCAGTGTAGGTAAGGTGGGGTGGCGATGCCCATTACCAAAGGAGTACAGCCTTACAAGTAACAACTTATAAATACAAGATTCACTGTGTCAGACACAGTGATAACTGTCAGAATACGTGGATTGCAGGGAAAGTCGACTGAGAGAAAACTTGATTAAGTGAATCACAATCATTGATGAATATGTTAGTGACATCATGACATCATAGGTTCATTCAAGTTACGTTAACTTGTGCATACATCCCTTTCCCAGAGCACAGTGCAAGCAGAAGATCAGCTGCACTCTGTATAAGATATGCCTGTCTTTTTATATAACATCCCTCGCCCCTCACAGAAGCGTCTGACGCAGAGCCAATTGCCTTCCAATTGTCTGACACTTGTCTCTGGAGCTTCAGAAAGAAATCTTTCACTGGGTAACATTTATTGGGGGTGGGGGAGAGAACACACACAACGGTCTCCCCACAAGGAAATGTATAAATCCCAGAACTACAAATAGTGACACTTCCATTCCTATACTTAAGACAGACATTTGACTAACGAAGCCTAACTTGGGACGCCCAGACTCCCTGCTTTAGCCAGACGGTCCTAGTTCATTCTTGTTTCCCAACATAACTATTACTAGTCCAGCACCCTGCCCCCGCTGAAATGTGTTCCTGTTTGGACAATAAATTATATGGTGGCCTTACCTAAATCGCTTTTATCTTTGTTATAGAACATTAAGCTTTGGCTGTGAAGCTGGCAAATTAGTGCTGTTAACTGTCTCATAAGGATATGGGTGGTTAAACTGGTTAAACTGCCCTGCTTTTTCTCTTACAGAGAAGTCATGAATCTTTCAATGTAAACAAAATGAGGAGGGCTTTTAATAATGAAAGAATCAGTTCTGTTCCTCTATATTCTTTTGAATCTGCTATTTAGACACCCTGCCATGAGCACTTTGGAATAATGGAGATTAGTTATGAGAAAAAGGTTTCCACTTTTACCTTATCTCTGGCTTACTAGACAAAAAGTAGAGGTAAGGGCTTTGAATCAAGAGCTATTTATTTTTAAGTTAATAATACAAAAGGCCCCTCTTTCCATTAAAGTCCCACCCCACCCCCACTACCAAGCCTAGAATTATTAGAACCGCGTCTCCACAGAGTAGAAAAGCAGACACCAAACATTCAACTGAAATCCGGGTCCCCTGCCACACTGCCCTCCCTTCCTCTCCCAAACAGCTGGCTCGTACTCGGACTCTGGAAGAATGTCAGTGGGGGAGCTATTAGGAGTGGGGTGAGTGCCCACCCAGTGTTCACCCGGGACAGCAAGTTGTAAGGCAGGAGATCTACTTACCCGCACTCCCATAGCAACCCCCTGACTTGGGGATGCCAAGGATTCTAGAGCCCCGGTCCCCCACCCCACTGTCCCAGCACCCCCTGGGCACGTTTGCACATGTTCCTGCCCCACAGGGAGCACTTCTCTGATAGGGTATCTCAGAGTTCAGTCCCATAGATGGCCTTATAACGTAAGTACTCTTCTAAGCACTGAAGAACATTGTCATCCACCTTTGGGTCAAACTTGTTAGCCAACAGGTGATGGTTTTGAAGAATCCAATGCAGGTCCCCAGTCCCATAAACACAGACAGACCGCTGGTGGGTCCCAGAGCAAGGTGCATAAGGTGCCCCCATACTGATGTCTCCCTCATGGTTTTGCCACTTGACCAGCCTGGCAATGGCTGTCATGTCAGAGATGTGAAACTTGGGGTGGTAGGGAATAGAACCCGGCATCCACGGTGCACGCTGAAGGGTGGCCCACAGATGTTCATCGGGGCTATAGGTGTCTTTCACCCACTCGATCAGTCTTTGGGACTTGGGGTTCTCCAAGACATGCCGGACAAAATCTCGAGAAGCCACAATATAGGCATTCCCTGTGAACATAGGTATATTATCCGGGGGAGGATCCTTCATCTTGCTGGTTATGTACAATGCATCTGTCACCTCATAGTGATATGTCCAGCGAGACCTTTTGTACTCAGTAGGTTTTTCTGACTCCATACTGTTCTTCCCATTCAACATCTTGAGGGCCAGGACCATCTCAGCATTGGTCTTTATAGGAAAGTCCGTCCCACATGTATTCAGTAAGTATCTCCACGGCACTGAGCTCTGGAGCAAGTCCTCCATACAGTTTAGGTCAGCCTGCACCCTGGACCAGGAGGCATAAACCACCCGAACCAACTTACTGGCTATGAAGACATTTGGGAAGCATGACACAATCGCCTTGACTGCCTCTTTGAAAGTTTCTGGGGATTTCTCATCCACATGGACACAGTATATGTTCTGAGGGGCATACAAAGCTCGCAGCAGTCTTTCAAAGTTCTCGATCTTCTCATGGACCACCATAGAGTATGCAATAGGGAAGTCTAACTCTTCTTTGCTCAGAGGGAACCGTATGAACTTCCTTTCGGCCTTAAAGTGCTCACAGTCTCTGGTCATGTTAAGGTAGTCGGTGTCTGTGAAGGGCTCCCGCTTCTTCTTGACCTCCAGGTTGTCCAGGAGAGCCTCCGTCACTGCCTGCTGGTCCCCTCGGATGATTCCAGAACAGTTGATGGATCTCTTTGCTGGCAGCTTCAGGGACTTGTACAAGATGTCCCTACAGGGCTGGCTCCAAAAGTCCCTGGACTCCAGATCCAGGGATTCAAAGTCACATTTCAACCTGAGAGAAAACCTCAGAGCAACCACGGCCAGCAGCATATAGCAGCCCAGGGCCCACAGGTGATGCTGCCGAAAGGGCTTCTTCTTCCACCAAACCATCTTCATGGAATGAGAAACCAGCAGTTGGGGCACAGGGAAGGAGGAGGAGGATGGAATCCTTGGACAGAACAAAATGCCTTCAATTACAAACTAACCCTGAATGTATTCACAGAAACATCAAGCTCAACTCCAAAGGGATATTTCTTCTCTAGACAAATATCCTCAGTCAAGACCTGCCTAGGAACCTCTTATCCCTGGCTTGTTGACAGAGGTCTATAATCTGACCCTACAAACAAGCCATTCATGCTGGGATCAGGATCTGGCTCCACCTCTGCCCCAAGAGAAAAGGAAAAGGGAAGCAGAACTGAGCACCTGCTGACGTTGAGGTGTAATGAATAAGAGGAAGTCCCTGCCCGCCTTTCATTCCTCCATCTTCCCCCCCAACCCTTTACCACCCTGTTTCTAACATAGCTCTTATCTGGGGCCTAGAATTCCTAATCAGTCTAGAGAGACACTCCATGAAATTCAGACTCTCAGCATCTGTTCTAGAAATCCAAAGATTTAAATCCTTTTAAAAGAAAAAGTACAGGGGCATCTGGCTGGCTCAGTTGGGAGAGCATGCAACTCTTGATCTCAGGGTCATGAGTTTGAGCTCCACGTTGGGTGTGGAGATTATTTAAAAATAATTAAACTTTTAAAAATAAATAAATAAAATAAAAAGTACATATCTTGCTCATGTTTGGCAATTTGTGTATTAGGCTGCTTTCACCACATAGAATTCATTGGTTAGATGTGGTATCTAGGCACCCTTTTTAAAAAATGTTCTTAAAGAAGTACAAAAAATTGGATATGATCCAACAAATGCATTGGAATCATTCATAGAGATAACTCAGTCAATCCAAATTTAAAATATATCTACACTCAGAGACACAGAGAACTATGCATATACAATAATTAATGAGTGCTTTCTATGGGCCAGAAATATTTCTTTACATTGTCCAATTTAATCTTCACAACATACCTGAAGTGTAGTATTACTAGGCCTCTTTCACAGATAGGAAAACAAATGCTAAATAACTTGCCAAATATCATGTATATTTTAAGAAGCAAATATGGGACTCATCCCCAGTTTTTTTGTCTGCAAGGCCAATACTTCTTCCTTCAAACCATAGCCACCTTTTAAATAATACAATACAGGGTTCTGGATACCATTAAAGAAAACCAGATGATATAAAGAAAAAATCCCTTACAGGAGAGAAACAAAATGTGACAAATCCTCCTGACAAAGACTGTTTTCCTTTGTTGTGTCCTCTTTCTAAGCATAAGATGGTGTCCTTCTTGGTCGTAACTTTTTATGGGAATCTAAGAAGAAGAAAAAAATGGAAGATTAAGAAAATTCTCACCTTTTTAATAGCTTTGTTCTTGCTTAGGAAAGATCACTTGCCAGGGTGTATGTGTCTCCAAGGGAAGATTGATTGGAATCCAATGGAAGCAAATGTGAACACCATATCCTTCTTCTAACCCCTCCAAAATATGGTTTCTGATATTCACAGGATGTCCATGAACAGTCTCAGGCTCCTCCTCAATCTCTGCAAATGAGAGAGCGGCAGGTGGCTCTATCACTCACCTTCCAACTTCCTCCTCTCAGATAAGGGCACAAGCTCACAAGTATTCAGGAGCATATTCTCAAGCACTAGTCATTCAGGGAGGTGAATAAGGCAGGAAGAAAACGCCGGCAGTATCTGCAAGCAGGTATTTCTTTCGTGGTTTTGTTGTTGTTGTTTGTTAAGATTTCATTTATTCATTTGACAGAGAGAGAGCGAGAACAAGCAGGGGGCATGGCAGAGGGAGAGGGAGAAGCAGGCTCCCCGCTGAGCAGGGAGCCCCACATGGGGCTCAATCCCAGGACCCTGAGATCGTGACCTGAGTCAAAACCAAGATTCGGACGCTTAACTGACTGAGCCACCCAGGTGCCCCGCTAACAGGTATTTCAACCAGAACAGCCCAGTTTGTAACCATGCTCTCCTGCCACAAAACCATTCATAAAAACCTGTCAAGGCTCACACAAGAACTTGAAAGCTTTCCCACCCCATACCCCTTAGCAAGGAACCATAGAAACACAGGCATGCCCCTGGAATCCAAGTATCACTCCCTGAACATTACAAGAGTGAAGCAATAAAAACAAAAACAAAAAACTTTTATACTTAAAAAAAAGGTTGTTTTTTTTTACAAAAAAAAAAACACACCTTTACTTAAAAACGTTGTTTAAAAAAATCTTTTTTTACTTAAAAAAAGTTTTTACTTAAAAACCAGAGTTTGTGCTCCAAATGACAACTGCTTAAAAAAAAAAAATCCATTTACCTGTCATTAATTATTGTTAATAATCTGTGAGTTGTAGAAATACCCACAGGGTTCCAGTTCTCACTGATGTCTGTGAGTCTAGGGTCTTGGCAGTGGAAGGAATGGACTAGTGCTATGGACCTCCGGACGTCAGTGAGAACCCCACGGGGTGGTTTGGGAAACACAGGGTGGAAAAGGCCTTCTTCAAAGCTGCTCACTCTGTTTGCCGCTGTTTCTCTCCTGAACCCAACCCCCGCTCTAACAAAGCATTCCTGGCCAAATATTTGAGAGCGCAAATTTAATATAAAGAACTTAACTACATATAAAGGTTAATAGATAACTGTAGGGCGGAGGGAGGGGGTGTGAGAACACCCTAAATTAAGGAAGTAGAAATTGATGGAAGTAGCTACCACTCCTAGGCTGGAGGAAGGAAGACAAGATTGGGGAATTTTTTAATTTAAAATTTGGGAAGAAGGGTGCCAACAAGCTGAAACGCAAGACCTCTGAGAGGGGTACACCACCAACTACTCAACTGGTGCTGGGGTCTCTGACCTTGGAGGAGGACCCCCAGGCTGAGATCCCAACCTCTCCCGAGGCCGCTGACGTCTCTGCACACCGTTACTGTAACTGGATTCAGTGCAGTTACATAAAGAAACTGCCCCTGGGAGGTAAACAGGCGTTGACATGGCGATGCTCCCAGAAGCAGGAAGTAGCGGACAGGAAGCAAGCAGGAAATCCCGCCTCCAGCCCTACTGGCTCCCTCCAGCGCCCCCTGTTGGCCAAGCCTAATAGGGGGGCAGAGCCGGCAAAGCAGAAATCCTGATTCCAAAATGTGGGCTTCATCTGAAGACAGCAGCATAATAACGGAGATCGGCCACAGTTACCTTCTTCCTACAAGAAGTGTTTATGCGGCCCCCAGTACAGCCTAGGGAACTTAGGTCTTTTCTTTTTTTGGACCTCTTCTGTCTGTTTCTGACTATAGATGGAGACAGGCCATTGGCAAGGGAGCCATATCGGGTCATCTGTGCTCCCGCTTTTATTGGCCCTACTCCGCTGGCACTGTCTTCTGTCAGCTTCCGTCATTCAGAGTCTGTGTGGCTCTCGGTTTTGAGCTGTGACATTTCTGAGGCAAACAGGATTAAAGGGCAAACGCTTGTCTGGGTATCTCAATCTACAAAAAATTCTCCAATTTCTTAATATATGACTTTCCTTTGATGGGCCCCTCAAAGTCCCACCTTCTTTCCCATAAAAATCATATCACACAATCTCTCAATAAAAAGAAAATATTTTGAATATTTGATTGTTAAGGTAACCAAAATAGGCATCCATGCTTATTTGCTAAATATATGCTAATATAACATTAACACCTTGTAAAACAAGACAAAATCAGAAAGGGAGACAAACCATAAGAGACTCTTAACTCTAGGAAACAAACTGAGGGTTGCTGGAGGGGAGATAGGTGGGGGGATGGGGTAACTGGGTGATGGGCATTAAGGAGGGCACGTGAAGTAATAAGCACTGGGTGTTATATGCAACTGATGAATCACTAAAATCTCCCCCTGAAACTAATAATACACTGTATGTTAATTGAATTTAAATTTTAAAAACATTAACAAATTGTAGATATAGTTTGCTGAGATAATCTTCATATTAGTAATACCAAGTGGGTAGTAGTTACAGGCTTACCTGGGTTTTGGCAAGACAGAGCAAGGTCTGAATCCTGGCTCTGTCTCTTTCTAGCTGCGTGATCATGGGCAAATTCTGTAATCTGTCTATGCTTCCCTGACTTCCTTTGTGTAACTGGGACTAATACCAATACCTATTCTATAGGATGGTTGTGAGGATTAAACATGGCAACACATATGAAAGACTTGGCTTAATACCTGGCATATGTAGGCCCTTGATGAGGGTTACAGAGGCTCCTGCCAGCCCACAAAGGCCTCTTTTACTCACAGAGTAGCTCAAGGACGGTACAAGTAACACTCTTGAACTTTGGACCAAGCAAAAGTACTGACGCTGGTAATGTTGCCAGTTGGGTAGACCAGTAAAAAGACCTGAAATCATCCCCTTCTCTGTGCCCTGGAAGAGACTGCGTTGTAGGTGGTCAGCGGGAGCACTGCAGAGCTGAGGGATGAGCTGCAGCTGAGACCAGGAGGTGTAGGCAAGGGGACAGGATGGCTGGAGTTACAGGGAAAACATGAGCCAGGCAACCTGCAGAGGTCACTCAGAGGGACATTTGGGATGGTCACAGCTTCCACCCTTTAAGTCCATGCTGGCCTTGAAAAGAAAGTAGAGCACAGGCAAGAGGGAGGGCCCAGTCCCAGATTGCCTGGGAACCAGGCTCTTTTCAAGGCAGGAACCCAGACCCGGAGCCCGGAACCCCTTCATTATAAGGTTTCTTTTACGCCTGCTGAGACGAAAAGGCAGAGCCAGAGGATCCTGGAGGCAAATGTATCGGAGAGTTCAGGATGACAGGAGGACAGTTAGAAGTCCCAAGCACTTTCTGAAAATGATGAGGGCACTCACCTTTCTTGACTATCAAAAATAAAAGCAACATGAAACCAGATCATAAGAATGTCCAACACAGGCCTGAGTTCCCATGATGACCATAGCTATCTTTGCTACTTCAGAAACAGTAAGACTCATGAGTTGAGCCTCCCCGCTGGGCAAATAGCTTTGCTTGCATCCCCTGAGTTTTAAATTAAAAATCCTTCGATGTTTGTGGG